AGAAATCAATGCAATGGAGACTAAGAGAACAATACAAAAAAAAATCAATGAATCAAAGAGTTGGTTTTTCAAAAGGATAAATAAAATTGATAAAGCCTCAGCCAACCTAATCAAGAAAAGAAAGGAAGGCTCAAACTCATGCAATTGGGAATGAAAAAGGTGAAATTACAAGAGGTCCAGCAGAAATCCAGAGGATCAGTAATACCTACTTTGAAGACTTGTACTCTAACAAAATGGAAACTACAGAAGAAATGGATAGATTCCGAGATACATATGAACTTATAAAGTTGAACGAAGAAGACAGAAAAAGTCTAAACACCCCAATTACATTCAGTGAAATTGAAAATGTAATTAAAACATTACCGCCTGGCGAGGTGGCTCACGCCTATAATCCCAGCACTCAGGAGGTTGAGGCAGGAGGATTGCTGTGAGTTTGAGACCAGCCTGGGCTACATGGTGAGTCCCAGGTCAGTCTCAACTACATAGTGAGACCCTGTCTCAAAAAAACCAAAAAAAACAAACAAACAAACAAACAAAAAAACAACAAAGAAAGCCCAGGTCCTGATGGCTTCACTCCTGAATTCTACAAGACATTTAGAGAAGAACTATTGTCATTACTCTTTAAACTTGTCAGTGAAATTGAAAGGGAAGCAATGCTTCCAAATTCATTCCTGGAAGCAAGTGTTATTTTGATTCCAAAACCAGGGAAAGACCCAACCAAAAAAGAGAACTACAGGCCAATTTCCCTAATGAATATAGATGTAAAAATCTTCAGTAAGATACTGGAAAACAGAATACAGAAGGTCATCAAGAAGGTCATACACCCTGACCAAGTCGGATTTATCTCAAGGATACAAGGATGGTTCAACATATCTAAATCAATAAATGTAATATAATATATTAAGAGTCAATGACAAAAACTATATGATCATCTCAATAAATGCAGAAAAAGCATTTCACAAAACTCAATGTCCATTTATCATAAAAACACTACAGAAAATTGTAATAGATGGTCTTTATCTCAACCTGGTAAAGGCTAACTATGAAAAGCCAATATAATTCTAAATGTTCAAAAACTGAAAACTTCCATGATAAAATCAGGAACAAAACAAGGATTTCTACTCTCACCACTCCTGTTCAATATAGTTCTAGAAACATTAGCCACATCAATTAGACAAGAGAAAGAAATAAAGTTACGAAAGGAAGAAGTTAAACTGTCACTATTTGCTGATGATATGATACTCTACATAGAAGACCCAAAAAACTCTGCCAAAAGACTTCTTGACTTAACTGACAGATTCAGTAGAGTAGCTGGATACAAAGTCAATACTCAAAAATCAATCGCCTTCTTGTACACAAATAACAGACTCAGTGAGAGAGAAATTAGGGAAATAATTCCTTTCACAATAACAACCAAAAAATGAAATATCTAGGACTCAATCTAATGAAGGAAGCAAAAGACCTCTACACTGAAAATTACAGCACTATGAAAAAAGAGATAGAAGAGGATATAGGAAGATGGAAAGACATCCCTTGCTCCTGGGTAGGAAAAATCAACATAGTGAAAATGGCCATACTCCCAAAACTTCTATACAGATTCAATGTAATCCCAATTGAAATCCCAACAGTATATTTCACAGAACTTGAGAAACAATCCAAAAATTCATTTGTAACCAGAAGAGACCTAGAATAGCAAAAGCCATCCTAGGCAACAGAGACATGGCAGGGGTTACGATTTCCAATTTGAAACTATATTACAAAGCTACTGTGATTTTAAAAAAAAGGAAAAAAGAAAATGAGCATAGCACTGGCAAAGAAACAGACCTGAGAATCAATGGAATGTATTAGAAGATACAAAAACAATACCAGACATACTCAGCTATCTCATCTTTGACAAAGGAGCCAACCATCCTCAATGGAAGAAAGATAGCCTCTTTAATAAATGGTGTTGGAAAAACTGGCTTTCAACTTGACAAAGATCAAAACTAATTCCCTATCTTTCACCATGCACTAAACTAAAATCCAAGTGGATTAACGACCTAAATATGAAAACAGAAACATTAAACTTGCTGGAAATTAAATTTGGTAGAACTCTCGAAGATATTGGCATAGGAAAAGACTTTATGAACAAATCCTCAGCAACATGAGAACTTGCACAAAGAGTCAACAACTGGGATCTCATCGTATTAAAAAATTTTTTCAGTTCAAAGTAAATCACCAACAGAGCTAAGAGACAACCTACAACATGGGAAAAATTTTTACAAGCTACTCCTCAGGGAAAGGTCTACTATCTAGAATACATAAAGAACTCAAGAAAAGCAGATGCCCCAAATACAAAGAGCTGATTTGAAAGTGGGCATCTGAAATGAAGCAAAAGCAACCAATAAATATATGAAAAAATGTTCCACATCACTGGTCATTGGAGAGATGCAGATGAAAGCAACACTGAGATTCCACCTTACCCCAGAAAGAATGGCTACTATCAAGGAATTAACCAATAAAAATGCTGGCGGGGCTGTGGGGAGAAAGGAACCCTTCTCCATTGTTGGTGGGAGTGCAGACTGATGCAACCACTGTGGAAATCAATATGGAGATACTTCAAAGAACTAGGATTAGATGTCTCATTTGACCCAGCTATCGCTCTGCTGTGTATCTTTCCAAAAGAATTACAAGAGTCATATGATAGTGACATATGTGCACCATATTTATAGTAGCTATTTATAGTAGCACAGTTCATAATAGCTATAAGTTGGAAACAGCCCAAACACCCATTAGCTGGAGACTGTATAAAGAAGATGTGGTTTTTCTATAAAATGGAATACTACTCCGCCATAAAGAATGAGAAACTAGAAACATTTATAGCTAAATGGATGCACATTGAGGCTGTACTCTCCCACCTTCCACTGTACTTCTCTGGGTAAAAAACTTAACCTCAGGTGTTTCCATTTTTTCCTGAAGCATGTTAGTGTGCTTGCTTTCATGTCCTTTCTTCTAAGCACTCATGAAGGAGGCCTATTACTCCTCCTATTCTTTCCATCTTATCTCCACAGGGTGCATCTTATTTAGGAAAAGGGACAGATACTGACTCTTCTTTGAAATAGGAAAGGGTGGGGATTGGATTTGATTTTTTATTTCTGATGGGTAGCGGGTAGATGTTTAGTCAGTTTTACCTGACATAACTAAGTATCACAGACCAGGTAATTCACAAAGACTACAAATGCATCTCTCACACTTCTGAAGCTGCTAAAACGGAGGAAGAGCAAGGTACCAAGACATTTTGTTGTCTGGTGAGGGCGCAATCTCTGCTTTTCATGATGCTTTCATCCTTGACCACTCCACCCTCCGGATAGAAAGAACACAGTGGCTTCACATGGTGATAGGTAAACGACTACGACTGGGAAACCTACTCCATGAAGCCCTTCCATAAATGCACCAAATCCTCATGACTCATAAGACCACATCCCCCAATACTGTTGTATTGGGGATTAATTTAAATATGAATTTTTGGATCATACATAAACATTCAAACCATAGTAGAGGTTTCGAGGGACATCCTAGCAAGATGTCAATAAGCAGTTACACAGCTCTAGGAGAGTAATTTTCAAGGAGCTTGTAGGGAAGTGCACAAATTGTTATGTGCATCTTTCCTTCCTCAAAGTAATGCCTAAAAGTGAAAATGCTCCTTCAAAGGGCATGAATTACATGTGAGGACTTTTACTGATTATTCTATTGTTAGAAACAGATATTACTGATGGGTGTACACAGTTCCTTACTGGTATGCTAATGTAATCTAGTAGTATTTTACTAGTATGCTAGTGTAGTTTTAAGATTCATTAAGGAATTTTAGAGTTATATCCTCTTTGTAAAAACTGCCACAATCCTCTGATGGATTTCAGTGGCTTTGTAAATACTGCAAGGTAGTAAATATGTGTTTCTTTCCCAACCCAAATTCAAGACAGAAAAACAGAAATCATTCAAAATATTTCAAATAGACGTAATTTATTATGGAGAAATTGTCACACAGGCGTTGAAACTTAGAAAAACAAAAAGAGAAAAGTACAATTAAGTCACAAACCCCTAAATGCACCAATCCTAGAGCTAGTGGGATAGAAAGTGACGTTATTGTCAGAGCCAAAGAACAAACTTATCGCTGGAGATGCCATGTGAGGCTGGGGAAAGGAGAAGCTGCTTTAACTGTCTCTGGGCTTTGCAAGGAATATAGCCCTTTCACTGGGTTCCAGAAGTATAAAAAAAATTTAAAACTGTGGCTTTCCCTGTTTCACTTTCTGAATCATCTGAGTGGACAAACGTCTATTTTCATCATTGGCCAATAGCTTATATTAGTATACAGTAGCACCCCCCCACCAAGTGGCAAGTAACTGATTTTTAAACAAACACTTTATATGCTCAAAAATACCCTACAGTATATGCCCCTCGGAAGTTATTATTTTCTCAAACAGTTCTGCCATTACCAAAGAGATTTTTAAGAACACCCCTTTTTAAAATCGCTTTTAGAGCTACTTCTTGAGAAATAAAGACACATTTCCAAGGCGGTATTTGCCAGGCGTTTATTCTTTCAGTTTTCTCAACTGAGAGGTAGACCCTCTTATTCCCGTTTTTACAAAACGCAACTGAGACACACAGGTGGTTAATGAGCCAACACTACTCAGCTAGTGAGCTTGCTGGGCAATCGAGTCAAAGTTTGTGCTCTCAGCAAACAACAAAAAAAAATGGCAATTTTTTAAAATGCTAGGGCCCGCAACTACGCAATTAATGGAAAAAGCAACCAACACCGCAGAAACAAGTTTGATTAACCTAAGGACGCCTGACACCCGACAAAACAGACCAGGCAAATGAGAACACAACCGGTCTGGAGCAGCCGCAGAGCGGCTTCCTAAACATTTCTGGCGCCCCAGAGCCTCTCATTGGTCCCCTACCAGGCAGCGTCATTCTGCGTGCTCCAGGAGGCGGGACTTCCGCGGTACGCCGAGCCAATTCCGGCTGCACCGGAAATTCCTGCTGAGTTAACGAGGAGGAATTCTTGCATCCGGAAGGTCTTGATCTGCACTGTGTCGCGTAGTATCGGAACAAGTATTGGACGATGGTTTATTCGTGAGTTTCAAGATTCGGGATAGTGAAAAACAGGATTTAAGACATGGATAGTCGTCTACAGGAGATCCGGGAGCGACAGAAGTTACGGCGACAGCTCCTCGCTCAGCAGGTCCGCGGCTCCGTGGCCTTCGTGGGGAGGGATCGCGAGTGCGCGTGCGCCCCCGTCCTCCCCAATTGTTCTAGCAGCCTACCGCTGTCAAGGTCTTCCTGGTCCTGTGACTCTTGATTTTTGGGTCTCCGGAATCTAGTGGCCTTTGTGCATCTTTATGGATCTCTCGCCAAATGTCTGGCACGGTGCACATTGATGAGAATACACCGTCTTTTGGTTTTAGTTTAAAAAAGCAACGTAGTTCATGCAAGGATAAGTGATTTGTTATCCCCTGAGTTGGTCTTCACTGTTTAAATGGTCTTCTGTGCCTTTTTCTTTCCTCTTGGTCTGCACCAAATCCTTGAGTATATTGCAAAACAGTATTTCCTTTGGGATCCCATCCAAAAATTGCACTGAAAGTGGCTTGAATGTAAATTTTATATTGTGCGTCTTATATACAGTACCCTTGTCATCGTCCGCAGTCAGTATTCTTACTCTGTATTAGTCACAACCTTTGAAACAGGTAGCACTGTCATCATTGAATAATGAAATAGGATTCACTTACACGTAGCCAGGAAATTGAACACAGGTGTCTTCTAAACGTTTGCCCTTCACTGCTTCTTTTGGTTGACACTTACTGATCAGAATACACGTGCAGAGAATACAGATTATTCCAGTTCTTAAAATCCGAAGCAGTTTCCCATTTTGCCATGTATATATCAATGAAAGTAGTGGGGAGAAATGTTCATAGGTTTTAATGAGGCATTTTGCTGTTTTTAAGATTAAATCTTGTTTTTAGTAATGGTAATCTGATTACAATCTATCCTCCTTTATGTGGCGATAAGTAGATTTGTGGTGTCCTTTTTAAAATGTGGGAATTTGGAATCAGATCTGTTCCTTGTCTTTTTGGCATTATGAACCTGGATAAATCAAGTATCTTTCTAAATTGTGTTCTCAATTTATTTTACCATGTCTTCAGAAATGTTTAGTGGTTCTTTGTTGGCATCATGTAAGATGTTTTACTCCTTGATTTTTAGTTCAAAGTTCTATTTGACTTAGTACATCATAGAACAGTTTTTCATTGAATATCTTTCATTGAGCAAATACCAGAGACACTAGCAGGTACTGGCAAATGAACTCCGAATAACACCCTCCAGGAACTTACAAAGTTTAAAATTGGTAAGGGCTGCCATTTATTAAGTGCCTTCTACTTATGTGTCAGACTTGACTAAACTTTGAATATTATCTTTGATCCTGTGCGTCGTATGTTCTGCCTTTTATAGACTAAAAAAGTGAAGCTCAAAAAAATTTGTTACATGTTCAGTGCTACAGAACTGTTAACGTTTGCAAGCTAAAGTTTTAACGTGGACCTGTCGATACTCTTTCTAGTAGAGTAGGTGCTTCCTGGTCTTCGATTTGGATATGAACTCCAGTAAGAATGCCTGATAGCATCAACAACAAACATCCACTTCGCCACCTTATTTTAACCTTTGCTTATTTTTGTCTATATGAACAAGGCAGACTAACTTACTACTTTCTAGAGCATGCTCTGTACCATGCATACATTATGATTTTAGAAATTTGTCCTCTTTCTGAATTCTGTGTCCTCTGTGGCATGGTTTAGAGCTTCATGATGAAATCTGTACTGATCTCCTTGACTTAGGTTCTTCCAAGAAGTCTGTTATTGTATGTTGATTGTCCTGTAGATTAAAAATGGTTTGCTCATACAGTCTTTGCCTTTCACTTCTGTTGGTTTAATCTACCCTAGGATTGCTTCTTGCACATAGTTAGCTCTTAATAAACGTTTGTTGATTGATGAAATGCCCAAGTAGAGCACAATTCAGTATGTGTCATTTGCTTCTCTCTTCCACATAAAGACACTTGTATTAAGCAGGCCCTGATCATGATGGTTGCAGTTGCTGCTACCACCAGCATTTCACACCAGGTTTTTATTTTAACTTGTATCTTAGTTTTTAAAAATCATATGTGCCTTTGATAGATACTGTTGGCATAAATTATTCAAATAATATACTTGGTATCACCATAATAGACAATCTGATTTGATCTAGTCATTGTACAACTTATGAGAAAAAGTTTGACTGTTTGATGATTGTTTATATATAATCAGAATTTTGACTTAAAGCATTTCTTTTGTAATGCATCCTAATTTAGATCATACTAGGAAATCTTGTTTTTTTATTTACATAAAGCATCTACTTTCAGTTAAGCATTATTTTGACTGTTGAACATTATATATATATATATATATATATATATATAAAGACAGGGTTCTTCCCTTAAAGGAGTTTATATTTTATTGGGATAATTTATACAAATAATTGGAAGTTATGATAGAGACTATGAAGTGGTACCAATAGAAAAGAGAAAGTAAGCCAGACAAGGTGGTACATGCTTGTAATCCCAGCTACTTGGGAGGAAGATTGCAACTTCAGGCCAGCCTGGACAACATAGCAGAGTTTGTCTCAAAATACAAAGGGCTGGGGATGTAGTATAGTACTCCTGAGGTTCAGTCTCTGTAAGGCTAGAAAGGAAATAATAAATGTAAAATCATTGAAAGTTGTATAAAGTGTTATGAGACAATAAGGAAATAAGGGCGAAGAAAGAATAATGAAAGGGGCTTTTCTACCCTAAATAGTGTACTAGTTATGAAAGGGAAATAATTTGTACTCTAAGATACGAGTTATAGAAAGAGGAGCTAGTCATGGGAAGAAAGAATACATCCCAACTAGAGGAAGTGGGTGTGTTTTCTCTGCCTGAAAAGAAAGAAGGAAGATTTTATGGAGAAGTTAAGATTTCCGGAAAGTTGATATATTGGAAGAGATTTATTGTTGGAGAAACTTGAGGGCATTCATGTAAAGGGGGTAGACTAAAAAGGTAGTTGGCTAAGGTAAGGCTAATAATTTGCTATTCTGATATTTCAGTATGCCCTTTTCTTCTCCTGTGCTGACAAGACTATTTAATGCAGATTTCCTCATGCCCTTCTTGAGTTTAAAAATATTAAATCATTCTTCATGGTGTTCCATACTCTTTAGTATAAATTTAAAAGTTTTCCATGACTTAGTCCTGATATTTTTGTTTACATTTGTTGCACTTTACAAAATTTCTCCAGCTGCCTACCAAAATTGTATTACTTTTTTTTTTTTTTTTTTGGCCC